CACAGACAAATGTAAAAACCTTCCCTAAAAGCCGAGACTGTAAATTCCAAAAAGGCAAGTACCCCCCCATCCAAAAAAAAAAAGCTAAAGAGGATAGAGAGAAACACTGTTAACTGATGATATATGGAGGGGATAATAATAATCAATGTAATGAAACAAGCCATATGAATGGTTTAATGTGAAGCTGATGATGTGCCCTGTAAACTATCACTCAATCCAAAATAAAAACATTTAATTAAAAAAAAAAAAGGTCAGAAGCAAAACTAGTGTTCAGTATGTTTTACAGCAAGCCATTAATGAGCTAGCATGCACCCCCAAAACAAGAATGGTGCCCCCATACTGATGCCTTCCCCATCAGTATCTCAGCATCAAGCTTTGAACTGTGCCTATGGAGACTTGCTGCTGTTGGTACATGCCATTGAGTCGGTTCTGACCCACAGCGACCCTATATAGGGTTTCCAGGAGTGACTGGTGGGTTTGATTCACTGACCTTGCAGTTACTAGTCCAGTGCTTATTCTACAGCGCCATACTTTCTCAGAGAGTGGGGGAAATCCGTATACACTGCAAAACTTAACATCAATTCAACTGTTTCTGCAGGTACAATGCAGAGACATTATTACATCCTTGGAGGTGTACAAACATTCTCACCCTCCTTTTCTGAACTCTTCCTCCCTCAGTCACATAAACTCACTGACTCTTCAATTTCCTTCTAACATTTTGAGTTCCTGCTGCCACTCTGACCCCAAATATGTAACTCTCCCAAGAGTACAGTGCATAAGACAGACATGTTTTCCTAGCGAAGCTGAACACTAGTTTGGTTTTAAGAAGACTTCAGGGGAGAACTTTGGTGTGAGGTGTATGCATCCACTACTGAACTTTTTGATCAAGGGTTCTGTAAAGGACCATGATCCAAATAGAACATACGAGAAATAGACTTTCAAATTCTCACAGACTCCAGACTTTCTAGAGCCACAAAGGCCAGATGTATATATTTGGTCCCAACAGTAGAGAACACAAATTAGATGTTCGGTCTACTGGGTGATCAGCCACTCTCATACTTGACCATCAACTTTATAATGAATGTCGCACAGCCCTTGGGTCTGGATACAGCTAGGTACTGTGGGAGAAGTCAGGTGTGGGCCGCACCTTCACGGAGCTGAGTGCCTTAAGGAATAAGCCAGCGGATGCAAACCGATGAGCAAGTCACCTACAGGAGAGGACCAGCACCACAGAGGCACACGGTGGGGGAGTGGCCTATTCTAAACAGAGCTGAAGGTCACTGTTCACTGGGACTCCCTTCCCACGTTTACTCTCTGTTCCCCTGGGATGCTCATACTTTGCTGAAGGCACATCCAGTATAGTGCTGAAAGGGCAGCTCCATGTGGCTGGCTGTTCTAGGAGGCTCTCCTACCTTGATGCCAGCATTCCGCAGGGTCTCCAATGTGGGCCTCACATCGGCCTGCAGCTGGTCCTCCACACCCGTCAGGCAGAGCAGCTCCATCTCCATCTCCAAGCTCTCGATCACAGTGGCCACCTTGAGGGAGCGGTCGTGCACGCTCAGCTTGGCCTGGACGTAGCGGGCCTGGGATGGACAACAGGCATGGTCATCATTTTGGGTGCAGAGGCACAAGGCTGACCAGTGGACACCAGGAATGGACTGGGCTGTCTTTGACCCCTCCATCCACAAGGGGGAGCCAGCCCAGCAGGACGACTTTTCTCCTTCAGTCAACTCAAGACTTGAGTTGGGCTGACCTGAGTTTCACACTGCTGTATCTGTATACCCACTGGCTGTTGAGTCTTTCAGGAAGTTCCTAAACTTCTCTGCGCCCCCGTGTTTTCCATCCGTGAAATGATGATACCAATAGTGACTTCACCGGGTTGTCGCGAGAAATACTGTAACCCAAGATATGGAAAAACAATGGGCTCTCCCACATACAGCCCACACTGTGTCATTAAGGGTCATCAGGGTTTTCTAAAGACAAAGACACAATGCCAAAGACCATACCACCCAGCCAACCCTCCTGTTTGTGCCCTCTTTATAAAGTTAGGAAGACAAGGAAAAAAAACAGAAATTCCCTGTTAAGTCTACTCAAAGAAGATGCTTTTAAAATAGAAAGGAAAGTAGAATTTATCAAGGTGGAACTATTGTTAAATAAAATGTTACAAAGAGCTCAAACCCAGGAAAGAGACCCAAGTTGGGTTGGGTTGCACCAGGTCAAGAGCCCCAGAAGTACATCCACTCGCCCTTGACGTAACGTCCTCTTCCTGTCACTCATGCATGCACGCATCCGACTTTCTACCAGGCATAAGGGAACAGCAGTGACTAGAACACAGATCCCACTTGGAGGTCTCAGTCAATCAACAAGCAAACCAGTGAGTTTAGACTAGAACCCTTGCCATGAACGTCAGTGGTCAAGTTCAACTGTTTGTCACAACTTAAAGAAAAACTACATCTCAGTGACAGTGAGCAATTCATCCTCCAAACCAATACACCATGATAATACATACACACACACAAAAAAAAAAACAAAAAAAAAACAAAAAAAACCAGGATACATGGCTGAAAACTGGACTCAAATGATCTTATTCCAGAGGGGAAATGGTTAAGAAGAGGGAAATGTAATAAAATAAAATAAAAGGTCATTAAAATCAAAACCTGAAACCACTGCCATCAAGTTGATTCCAACTTACAGTGACCCTAGAGAACAGAGTGGAACTGCCCCCATGGTGTTTCTGAGGCCAAAACCTTCATAAAAGCAGACTGATGAACCTTTCGCCCATGGAGTGGCTGGAGGGTTTGAACTATGAACTTTTCAGTCAGCAGCCCAAAACTTAGTCCACTGTGCCTAAAGGACTCCAAGGTCATTACAGAAATGTGATGAAAAAGGTGAAGTGGGTGATGAGTGGAGTGGGAAGGCATGGGGCTGCCTTGGACTGGTAGTCTGAGAAGACTTCTCGGAGGAAGTGGCATTCAGCTGAGATACAAAGGAAGCGAGGGAGTGGGCCATGGGACTTTATGAGGGAAGAACATTCCAGACTGATGGTGCAACACGGACAAAAGTGAGCCTGGGAGAGGGGGCAGGGGGAAGTCTTCGTTGGTTGTTGGGAAGTTGGTGATGGGTGGGGGGAAGGGGAGAGGGTGGAGCGCAGGGTGGGTGAGACACAGGAGAGCTTGGGTGCTCGGGATGGGGGCAATATACAGGGAGGAAGAGGGAAGTGGAGAAAAGGGGCAGATGGGAGAACAATTGGGCATGTTTGAAAAGGCTAAATGGGACAGAGATAAAGGACGATACATGCACACCCTTGGAACTGCAGGGCTGTGAGATACAGGGATTGAGTCATAGTTGGAATGGCGGGGGGAATCATGTTAAGATGCTTGACTTTTTTGTTGTTGTTGTTGTTTGTTTGTTTGTTTCTTTGTTTTCATCTTGGTTTCTTGTTATAATCTTGCATTATAATATAGAATAGACACTGGAGAGGAAGAGAAAGGAATCGTCAGGCACACCACACTAGAAGGCTTTTAAGTCCGTCTTCTGCCTATGACTGATTGGAATACCTAAAATGGGGCTACAGCGAACCCAGTGAATGAGGCTTCTTGCGGAGCCTTTGCAATACATAAAACTATAGGTAGAAACCGGAACCACATCCAGATCTCCAGAGATGAGAAATCTCCACTTGAAAGGA